GCAAAAGGTCCATCAGACCACAACACTACCTTCACTGAGTTCCTGTATAATAAATCAGAGAGATATTCCTTAGATGTCCTATGACAAATTCAGCAGCTGGAAGACAAATCCAGCAGGAGTGGTCCAGTATGCAGTATTGAGGAGGGACTAACTACAGAAAATACCAAGTTTAGGTCTAATTCTATGGTTCGCGTTGTGAGGGAGGTCACACTAGACGATCTAATGGTCCCTTCTGTCATTAAAACCTGGGAAGCAGAGAAACTTAGATACCACTTGGGCAAACACAAAACATTTGGTTAATCAATTCAACTGCCCCCTCCCCAAAAAACCCTGTGCACTTGGTCATGAGTACTAGGTATTTTTATACCAACTAAATAAAGCCATGTATAAGCAAACAGGTCAAGACCACATAGGGGTCTTAAGAAAGAGATCTGACAGCCTACAACAAATCTCTCTGCTTGAAACATTTGATCAGTTTGTACCAGATTCCAAAAAGTCGGTGTCTTAATATCTTGTGGATATTCATGACCTAACTAAAGAGGAGATTATAACTAATGTAAAAAGGAGGATATTATGGCAACGGTCCAATTTAGCTCTAGCAAAGTTATTGCTATATAGTATATCACAGCATTCAGAAAATGAAAATTCTGATGATTATGCCATATTTGTGATTAAGAGAGATCATAAAGTATGTGTATGTCTACACAGCCGTGTTATTTCAAAATAACGCGTTATTCTGAAATAACATAGTCTGCGTCTACACTCCAAGCAGTTATTTCAACCTAAGGTCAAAATAATGTTAAGCTGGAGGACTTTTTACTCCGACTTCTGTAACCCTCATTTTACGAGGAGTAAGGGAAGTCAGAGGAAAAGTGCTCTCTCTCTGACTTCCTGCTTTGTAGACAGCACCAAAAGCTGAAATAAACTATTTCAACATAAGCTACGCAACTGAGGTAGCTCAAGTTGCATAGCTTATTTCGGCTTTAGCCCTGCTGTGTAAACGTGCCCTATCAGACTGAGCAAGAAAAATCAAGCTGTGAAACATACCTGTTCGTCACTAAAAGGTCTTCTAGTCCAATACTGAAAACTGAGATAGGAGATTTAAGATGGCAAAATAGCTACACTTAAATATAGATACTGAGGACCTATCTGGTGAGTAGTACTGTGGGTTATGCAGTTTATATATTGAGAGAGTTGCTATAGGAAAACAGTTTAAAAGTAGTTGATAAAGACTGTCATATTAAATCAGTGGTTCTCAAACTTTTTGGATGTGGCCCACATGGCTCAATGCAAATCTTTCCTTAGACCACCAGCTGCTAATGGAAACCCGCCGTTAATTACATAATTATGCCCAAGTCCATTTTGCTAGTGCTGCAGCTAGGGAGAACGGTTTAATTTAACCAGTAAGAAATGAAATATTAATTTAAATTATTAAACAGATCAAGCACTTTAACTTTCTTTTGTTTGTTTATGAAACTTCATTTTAAATAAAGTAAAATATTAATTTATGTCCAACACAAAAAGTTCCCATGTTTTCTTTATTAATGGCAGAGATAGGGAACCATTTTTCAGTCAGGGGCCACTGACCCCCCCGTCCCCCCAATAGGGGAAAAAAAACCACCCCTCACTGATGTGGCCCCTAACTCTGACACTTCATCCCTCCGGTGCGCTAGCCTCACTGGGGAGGCAGAGAGACATGGAGGACTGAGGTTCATGACTTCCCATAGACCAGATTTACTCTTCTGGGGTTCTGGATTTTGTGGCCTGCCCCCTAGGCTCTGGGGTTGGGACAAAAATGAGGGATTCGGTGTGTGGGACAGGGCTGCCAACGAGAGGGATGGGGGTGCAGGAGGGCTAAATGAGAGGTAGAGTGCAGGAGCAGGCTGCAGACTAGGGGGAGGAGGCAAGAGCAAGGGAAGGTGCAGGAGCAGGCTAGGAATGCAGGGTCTTGGGAGGGATGTGTGCGTGAGAGGGCTGGGGATGTGGGTTCTGAGGGCACTTACTTGCCTTCATGCCCTGTGCCACTCCCAGGCACGGCCTCTCACTGCTCTCATTGACCGGATTCCGACCAGATCGTGCAGTGTGGGTTGGGACTTTCTCTCCCCTCCTCCCACTGCGGGAAGCCAGCACTGGTGCTTCAATCTCACGGGAGAGGGAGGACAAGGATACCTGCTGTGGGGGGAAGGTAGGGGCTGAGCTGCAGCCATGGATCACTACCAGTGGTCTGCGAACCGCAGTTTGAGAACTACTGTATTAAATCCTTCTGGGTGAGATTCTGCAGCTACGTTTGTAGCATTTTCAAGTCTGTTAATCTAGGTCCCAATTCCACAAGATATTTTCACATGTGCCTAATGTTACACACGAGTAATCCTGCTTAACATTAGGCATATGCTAAGGTGTCTTGTGAAATCAACGCTCTTAACACACCCTTTCAAATCTGTGTGTGCTACATTCAGACAGGATTCTCCTGTGCTAAATGCAGCCACCTCTGAGGGGAATCCACCAGTTGTTTAAAACAACACAGAGTAAGAGAGGAAGAAAATAAAAAATACTGTGTCCATTTGAATCTACAAGAGGAATTTAGCTAGGCAGGATGTAGTTACTTAAACTGGAAGAAGGCCTAGAGATCAGAGTTAGTCCTGAAAAAAAAATGCCATATGATCTTTAATGACCACCCGTAATCAGAGATCTCTATTTCAGGTCTCAACCAAGATATGACATAGTGCTCACTAATGCTATGCTGGGACATTGCTTAGATGCCAAGG